TGATAATATAGTTCAAGTTCAGATTCAGAGCTCAAGATCCAGATGGTTGGCTGGGTACGGTGGCTCACGTCTATAATCCCAGCACTTTGGGAGGCTGAGGTGGACGGATCACCTGAGGTCAGGCGTTCGAGACCAGCCTGGCCAACATGGTGAAACCCCATCTCTACTAAAAATACAAAAAATTAGCCAGGTGTGGTGGCATGTGCCTGTAATCCCAGCTACTCGGGAGGCTGAGGCAGGAGGATCGCTTGAACCTGGGAGGTGGAGGTTGCAGTGAGCCGAGATCACGCCATTGCACTCCAGCTTGGGTAACAAGAGCAAAACTCCGTCTCAAAAAAAAAGTCCAGATAATTGAGCCTCCAAACTAGGGTCCATCCATATCACAGTGGCCAAGCCTAGATTAAGTGAGAACCCCATATATAGGTGATCCCAGCTGAGGAGACCAGAGAGATGGGGTAAGAGGGTGAAAGGGGCCAAACCTGTTGCCCTGGTTTATTCATAGCACTTTCTAATACGTATGCAACATTTTCATAACACAAAGATATTTCTTCTGTTGTGCAACTCAATTCCAAGAGTATGTGAATCAAACTCAAAGGCAACTTCTACATTTTTCTTTTAATTTAAGGAAGAGAAAACGCAAAGAGCAGGTAAATCCCAGAGAGTGTGACTATAGGTGAGAGGCTGGACTAGACACTGTACCGCGAAGGAGGGCTCTAATATTAGCATTCTCCTCTCATTTCCACTTTCTGCTTAGGCCAACAAATGGGCACTTTGATTTTCAGACATTTTCAACAATGTATTAATCCCTGGGGTGGCCAATAGAGGGCAGACGATCTCTTCTTCTAGACCTCCATCAGAAATACTTTCTAATTCCTGTTCCTTCCAGACCTGATTTTTTCCCCTGCAGCTTCCACAACTCCCTTCTGCCCCTACCAATCCTTTCAAGTACTAATTTTGAGGTGTTTACTAAAACCAAAAGAGAAGGGCCACAGGCAATAATATACAAATATCTTTTTGTCTGTAATTCTTCACTTTCTCCCTTTTTCAACTAATTCATGAATGCATGTTTATAAGTCCTGGTTCTCCCCAATGAGCCGACAAGCTAATTGGGTTCAGAGTTACTCAACTATTTATAATATAGCATGATAAATGCTACAAGCAGAGGTACTTACAAATGCTGTAGAACAGATAAAGAGCTCAAGAAGCTTCCCAGAAAGCGAGGCATTAAACCATATTTCATGTGTGGCTCTAGTTCTTAACATTTGATCATGACTTTCAGGGGCCATGTAATCCTTCCTAGGCCACTTTCACCAGTGACACCTGATTGTCATCATGTTGGGCTCACCCAAACTCTTTCTGTAACCTTAGTGTGGTCTCTGAAGATAAGAAAATACTCTTGTGTTTGAGCCTCGTATCGCTGCCTCGGCGTCTCACTACCTTATTATAGTCTCTCCTGGAACACAGAGAAGAAAGAGTTGTTTCATAACTGAGCTCCTAGTTCACACACTGGTTTCAGAAAAGCTGCCAGGCCCTTGTAGGTTTCTCATTTGCCACTAGTTAATGGCTTCAAGGAATCCTATTTTCTCTATTGCTTCTACGACTATTAATTCTATGGCAAAGAGGCCGGGCGCGGTGGCTCAAGCCTGTAATCCCAGCACTTTGGGAGGCCGTGTCGGGTGGATCACGAGGTCAAGAGATCGAGACCATCCTGGTCAACATGGTGAAACCCCGTCTCTACTAAAACTACAAAAATTAGCTGGGCATGGTGGCGCACGCCTGTAGTCCCAGCTACTCGGGAGGCTGAGGCAGGAGAATTGCCTGAACCCAGGAGGCGGAGGTTGCGGTGAGCCGAGATCGCGCCATTGCACTCCAGCCTGGGTAACAAAAGTGAAACTCCGTCTCAAAAAAAGCTATATTTTAAAATATTCTATGGCAAAGGACATGCGTAATGTAACTTGATTACTTTTTTTTGAGCTGATAAAATCATCTTCGTCTTAAGAATTTCTCTAGTCCTTTCTAAACCTGACTTGAATTCCTGTGATAAGTCAACCTTTCTCCTTTTGTGTCTATCCATCTACCTTCCAGGTGGTACTACCTCCGAAGTCCCAGGGACAATGAATAGTCATCTCCATATTATCTTTGCCTGTGCTCAACCTGCAGCCTTCCTTAATCTTTAATATATCCCCTTAAAAATGAATAGAAGCTAAACTTTAACAATGTTTAATTACCACCTTCTTTCCTAACTACAGCAGCTTTCTCACGTCTGCCTTTTTTCCATCACCTGACCTTGGCTTCTCCTGTCAGGTCCTACAATGTTATCTGCTATATTTTAATGTTTATATACTCGCATTGGAACAGAAATACAGATAACCTCCTCTGCAAGAGTGGAAGGGACCTTTTAACACAGTGCGATGATGACAGTTTGTTGGCAAATCCCACAGGGAAGTGCTGGTGCCTTGTTGGGTGACAAGAAAGAACCATGTTTAACAGTGTTGTGTGTTTTTCTTCAGTTATTATTATTATTTTGAGACTGAGTCTCACTCTGTCACCCAGGCTGGAGTACAACGGCCTGGCCTCAGCTCACTGCAACCTCTGCCTCCCGGATTCAGGTAATCCTCCTGTCTCAGCCTTCCGAGTAGCTGGAACTACAGGCAGGTGCCACCATACCCGACTAATTTTTGTAATTTTAGTAGAGACAGGCTTTCACTATGTTGGCCAGATTCGTCTTGAACGCCTGACCTCATGTGATCCATCTACCTTGGCCTCCCAAAGTGCTGGGATTACAGGTGTGAGCCACCGCACCTGGCCTTTTTCTTAAGTTTTGTTTTTGTTTGTTTTTTGTTTTGAGACAGAGTCTCACTCTGTTGCCCAGGCTGAAATGCAGTGGCATGATCTCGGCTCACTGCATCATCCACCTCCTGGGTTCAAGCGATTCTCCTGCCTCAGCCTCCCAAGTAGCTGGCATTATAGGCATGCACCACCACACCCAGCTAATTTTTATATTTTTGATAGAGACAGAGTTTCACCATGTTGAAATATCTCCAGCTCCAGGTGGTCTCAAGTGATCTGCCCACTTTGGCCTCCCAAAGTGCTGGGATTATAGGTGTGAGCCACCACGCCCAGCCTCTTCAGTTTTTCTCATAGAAAACCTAGCATATTTTAAATGATTTTGCCACTTAACACTTATTATGGACCCACAGGGTATGAGGGCCTTTGGAGATCATTTATTCTGGCTTCCTACACAACGGCAGGAATTATTTCTACAACAACCTGGGGAACTGTTCATTGCAGTAACTCTTAAATGCCTCTAGCAAATGCAGTGCTCACTCCCCTTTTCCACAGTTGAACATCTTCCTCATGTCCCTATAATAATCAGTGATAATTAATGAGCCTCTTCCTCTCCTCAAAGAAATATGATAGGAGAAATGTTTAGTTTTTTGATGCCAACCATGGGGGCATATTCCACTGGTAACTTTGGCTTTTGGGTTCAGGATTAGAAGAGTGGTTAAACTAAAATATTTATCATAAGTATAAATTTGCTCCACAAACATGAAGTTTCAAAGGTAGCTTTGTTTCCTCTTTCCTTACACTGCCAGCTATTAACTTTGGATTCATTAGTTAACGATTTTCAGAATCCACTTGGCGGCCACCTTCCTGCAGCCAGACCATCTTGGATCAGAGGGTGGGCCAGCCAGTCCCACTCCACACTTGCCAAGGTATCGATTTTTCCCCCCATTGAACACAGTCTTTTTGTCAATTAATGTTACTCGCTTTGGTACCCATCTAGTGCATGTTAGGCCACTACGGAGCGGATCACTGCTTCACATCCCATCAATGACAGAGCCATCATTAAGAGAATCTTTTCTGACAACCACTGAAGAGAAACCATCTCCACGCGGTGCATTTTGCATCACTTCGGTTGCTTCTTTAGCTGATTTATCACAAAGACTATGTACCACATGTCTTCTTTATTAATGCATTGACAATCAATGAAAACCCACCACTTTTGTCCATGAACTGAGAAAGAAAACGGCAATGTCAAATGACATTCATGATGCGTTATATCTACGGGTAGTGTCATGTCAAGGCGTGTAGTAATCCAGTCTTGGACATTACTCCAGGGAGAAAGATTCAGCTTTGTTAATTTTCAGTCACCCCCTCCCGTAATACAACACCTCGACACAGACAGCAGAGCGACAAAACCCAGGATGAGGACAGTTAAAATTCAACTCCAGCTACAGCCATCCTCTACAGTCCTCCCCAGCTCCCGCGGAATATTTACCAAGACCGTTTAAAGCACTTAATTATTCATTTCAGCTTCGCTGGAGAGGTCTCAGGGTGCCCGAGACTCCATTACATAATATCTTTTACAAAGTCTATTCCCAGCTCCAGTGGAAGATGGATTCTCATCCAGTGTGCGGAGGTTCCACGCCTTTGCTTCCCTCTCCCGGGGTTCGATCCGGCGGGTACCCTCCCGAGGCTGCAGCCATCGCCCGGCCCCGAGCTTCTGGGGTCACCGCCACTCTTCGAACTCCAATCTGGCCCGGAAGGTGCAGCCGCTTCGCCCTCCTGGCTCCCAGACCCGCCGCTGAGGCCACGGTGCCAGCGGGCGCCCGAGACGCCGCGACTCTCGCCGCTTGCTGGGTGCGCCCCGAGCCCATCCGCAGCGCGCCCGCGGTGCCGGGGCCAGAGCCGCGGCTCGGAGGCAGGGCCGGCTCGGTGAGCCGGGCTCGGGGAGGAGGAGACCGGGAGGAGGAGGAGGCGTGTGAGGGAGGGAGGGAGGGAGGGAGGGAGGAAGGGCCCGGCTGCCCGAGAGGGGGAGGGGGAGGCGGAGGGGGCCGGCCGGGCCGGGGAGGGGGTGGGGGGGCAGCCAATGAGCGGCGCGCGGCGCGGGGGGGGGGAGGTGGGGGACAAGGTCTGCGGGAGGAGGTACGATGGGGGAGGGCGCAGCCCGAGCGGCGGAGGCTCCAGCCATAAACAAGCGCCCGGAGGAGCGGCGCAGGAGTGAGGCGAGCGGGGCGCGCGGAGCGGACGCCGAGGATCTTGTGTGCTGCGCCACCGCGCCCACTCGGCAGCTCGGGAGGCGGGGACCGGCCCGGAGGCTGCGCCGCTGCGGGGCCGGCCGACTCGGAGGAGAAGAGGGAGGAGGCGCCGCCGGCCCGGGTTGGAGCCGAGCGCAGCAGCCGCCGCCGCCGCCGCCGCGCCAGAAGTTTGGGTTGAACCGGAGCTGCCGGGAGGAAACTTTTTTCTTTTTTCCCCCTCCCTCCCGGGAGGAGGAGGAGGAGGAGAAGGAGGGGAAGCCGCCGCTGCCGCCGGCGCCGACGCTCGTGGGCTCGGGGTCGGCGCGGCCCGCAGAAGGGGCGGGGGCCTTGCCCCGCCAGGGGAGACGCGCCCCGGGGGCCCCGAGAGGGGCGGCGAGGACCGCGGGTTGCCGGTGCGGCGGCGGCGGCGCGTGTGCCCCGCGCAGGGGAGGGCGCCCGCCCCGCTCCCGGCCCGGCTGCAAGGAGGAGGCGGCGGCGGCGCAGGAGGATGTACTTGGTGGCGGGGGGCAGGGGGTTGGCCGGCTGCGGGCACCTCCCGGCCTCGCTACTGGGGCTGCTGCTGCTGCTGCTGCTGCTGGCGCGCTCCGGCACCCGGGCGCTGGTCTGCCTGCCCTGTGACGAGTCCAAGTGCGAGGAGCCCAGGAACTGCCCGGGGAGCATCGTGCAGGGCGTCTGCGGCTGCTGCTACACGTGCGCCAGCCAGAGGAACGAGAGCTGCGGCGGCACCTTCGGGATTTACGGAACCTGCGACCGGGGGCTGCGCTGTGTCATCCGCCCCCCGCTTAATGGCGACTCCCTCACGGAGTACGAAGCGGGCGTCTGCGAAGGTACGGCCGCCCGCTGAGGGCCCCCTCCCACCTGGCCCGCGCCGCCCCCTCGGCGCTGGCTGCGCGGAACAAAGTTTGGCCGAGACTTTCCGGAGGAAAGAGGGCTCCGCGGGAGGTGGGGCTGCCGCCGCCCCCAGGAGTGAGCCCCCCGGCCCTGCGTTCCCTCTCCCTCCTGCTCCCCGCGACGCTCCGGCAGCCGCGGGCGAGGTTCGGTATGGTGGGTGGGGGCGGGCGGGTGGAGGATTCCCCCCGTCCCCGCGCCGACGCGCACACGTGTGGCCGTTCCGGCAGGGGCTGGGTGGCCTGGCCTTCCGCCCCGAGGTGGGGGCTCCGCGGGCTGGCAGGGGGCACTGCGGAGGCTGCCGCGCGCGAACCCCTCGGGAAGCCCGGCCCTGCCGCCCTCCGCGCACTGGCGCAGTGTGGCACCGCGAGCTGCACACTGGCCGCAAAAGTCCTTTTCTGTGGGCGGAGGAGACGTGTCTTCAGCTCGCACTCCCCTAGTGACTCTTTTATTATTTTTTCCTTGAGCTCTTCCTTCACCCCCTTCCTCCTCCTCCGCACGTAAATCAATTTCAGCCTCCGAATATGTCAGCCTAGGGGAAGTTACACACGGTGGTTACTCATTTATTTGCCTATTGAAAACGGTCAAAGGCTTTCTCTCCTGAAAGGAAAAGGGGGTGGGGGTTGCACCTGGGAGTGAAAAGTTGTTGCTCTTAGTGGCTGGTTTTTAATAGGAGATACGCGCGCGTTTCCTATCGCGTTGCGGGTTCCTTCTTTTTGTTTGACAGCGGGGATTGTTCTTCTGGCTTTTCCACGGTGCATTGTGCGCTGCGGTGTCGAGATTGACGGAGGGAGACAGATGAGATTAGCGGAGTCTTTCTGGTTGGGGAGCCAATGTTGGGTGCGTGTTGGCCTTAACCCTGCCCGCGTGCCTCGGCCTTTAGGGTGCCTGGTCTGGTTTGGGGTCTAAAGCAAGGCCGTGAGTTCTTTTGATGTGGCTAACGGGGACAGGATGAGCATCAGTTAAAGTGGGATCCCTGCTCCAGCTGACGTGGGGCTGACGACGTTGTTCTGGGGGCATCCTGGCGAGTGAGCAGAGCGCACGCAGCAGCCTCCTTTCTGGGGAGGCAGCGAGGAGAAACCGGCGCCCTCGGCCCAGCTTGCCTTCCTCGCTACTCACAGCCAGCACAGTCCAGGGAACAGTTTATTCTGAAGCATCCTTGTGTGTTTGTTTAGTATGCTGGGATACTGAAAAAGGAGGTGACAGCCTCAAGAATAGAAATGGATCTATTAAAAGGCTTTCAGTGCTGCGATTCTTTCTAAATACAGATACACACATAGGTACTTATTTTACACCTGTGTAGTTTTAGGGTTTGGGCAGTTCGGGAAAATAGGGGAGGCTTTTCTGGTTTGGAAGCTAGTGGGCAGTGATGAGTGAAGGGAACTCTTCTCAGAGGGGAGGGACTTGCTTTGCTGCACACACAAGACATTGGGTTAGAAGAGTTCATTGAAGTACAAAAAAGCCTCTCACCTAGTATTGTCCCCTTTTACAACTTCTCTTTATGCCTTACCTCGGGAAAAATGGCCGTGAGACTAACTTCTGATACCATTTTATGTGTTTTGACTTTGGGAATTCTGAATGACCTAGACTGAAAGATGCATCTTTGAACCCTGCCACTTGGAGTGTATAACTTAATCCAGCCTCTCATAAATTTGAAAAGAACAAGCAACATGAAACACAGTTGAAATGCCGTGGAAACTGCTGTGCTCCGAGAAGGACTTTTGCAAGTTCTGAAGATTCTAACCCTTGTTTTGTTTCTTCTTAGTATGTTTCTGGTGAAGGAAATGCTCAGGGAACATTTACAGTAATCAAGTGTTTTGGCAGGCATATCCCATGTCACAGTATAGAGTATTTTGGCAGTTTGGTGAGCCTTTCATTCCTCTGAAATGATGTGATCCCTCATAGCTTCCTTTTTTCTGGTAACACCCTGTGTACTTGGTATTAGCTTTGAAATGCTTGGAAGGGTTTGTTGACATGATTATATCTCAATTAGTTTCTCTAGAAACCCTTTATTTTGTAGGCCTGTTTTCAACTACCCATATTGTGCATCCAGGGCACTTCCTTTTAAAAAAAAAAAAATACTGAAAACAGCAGTCAACTTGCATTCTAAATCTATGAAATCAAAGTAAGGGCAGTGTTACCTGGCATAGTATAATGGCTGGATTTAGACAGATATTTTCAATCGTGTGTTTAAATTTTCAGTGTTTTCGCTTAACGACAAGACGGAAAGCGGGGGATAAGTGATACCCCACGGCTCCGTCCCCCCATTTTTAAAGTAAGAATTAGAGGAGTCTTTACATGTCAGCAGCTAGCTAGAAGGTATTGATTATCTCTTGTTGTTTTGTGAGTTTACAAGAAATTTCGGAGTGGCCAGTGTTTCCCTCAGTTTCCATTTTTATTCAGAAATTCACATAGAGAAGCATGGTTATCATTAACTAACATGAATAGGAATTAACATATATTATTCACGTCAAAGTCTCTTTTGCTGCAATTTTTGCACTAAAATGACCCCTACTGGTTGTATCTGTTAATGAAAACTTGAAAACTTCTTTAATTGGCTACACAGTAAAAACATATTGCATGGTATAGAAATATTATCATGACTAATCTCCCTGCTTTCGATGACATAATTTAAATACAAATTATATTCTCTGTTTGCCAACTTGCAGTAATTTTTAGCTGTGTTTACACCCATACTGACTTTGTAGGGGGAAAAAAACTGTTTTTAACTGCAGTTCACAAAATGAGTTAGATAAATGATGGACAGAAATGGGCCCCTTTCAACTTGTGGCTGTCTTAGGTTTTTAAGGCATGCTGGCCCAGTTGGCTCTTAGTAAAAGTAGGTTGAATAAATGGAAGAACCATCCTATCCATAGAAAGAATGCTGAAGGAAAAAAAAATAGTTTCTGAATGATACATGGTGAGTTGTGTCCTGTGCCCCTTGTGAGATGTACACTTGGATTTCTTTTCATCATTGTTTAGATTATTAAATAAATTCTGATTTAATTATTCCTTTTGCGATGGGGGCTGGGGGGTGGTAATTGCATTTTAAAAATGGAGCATAGAGCCTGATTCCTAAAGTTTTTTACTACTTTCTCTCAGCCTGGAAAGTGCTTTTTGGGGCAGGGCGGGTGGCTCACTCCTGGAATCCCAGCACTCTGGGAGGCCAAGATGGGCAGATCACCTGAGGTCAGGAGTTTGAGAACAGCCTGGTCATCATGGTGAAACTCTGTCTCTACTAATAATACAAAAAATTAGCCGAGTGTGGTGGCACGTGCCTGTAATCCCAGCTCTCAAGAGGCTGAGGTAGGAGAATCGCTTGAACTTGGGCGGAGTTTGCAGTGAGCCGAGATCCTGTCATTGCACTCCAGCTTGGGCAACAAGAGCAAAACTCCATCTCAAAAACAAACAAACAAAAAACAAAGTGCTTTTTGGGACTTGAGTGCAGGTCTCTTTCCTGTTTCCTTTCATCTGCTGAGACCTCCTGTTGCTCTTTGAAGCATCCTGACTGGCCTGTTTTCTTGGCTAGGCTGCCTGACTCCAAGAAAATCACCTAGAAGCCAGAGAAACAAGTTTGGATCCTGAATCCCTGAGAAAGAAGTCTGGATGAGAGACATCTTTGGAGGATCAAAGGCAGAGTTTTGAAAAATTAATGAAGTGAGATTTTCTAGAAAGAAGGTTTTGATTGGACAGTGAGGATTATATTTTGAGCTAAGTGGGTGAGAGTCGTTTCTTCTCCCATGTGGAATACCACATTATGCTTCTGTAAGGAATGAGGCAAGGTGGGAGGCCATGACAACCTCTCTGGGCAGTAAAGGGCAGATGGTGACTTGTTTTGACAGTTTATACAGACAGTGATTAGGAACCAAGTGGAGACTACTTGAGTCACTTTGTTCTGAGGACTCTGTTGTGGGAGATTCAGGTGATAGCTATTTCAGATAAGCACCAACTTTTTTCCTGATGATTATTTACTCAGTGGCTTCATCTTTTGGAACTCAGCATTGCATGTTTTTCACCACTGCTATCTAAAAGCTACCGCCTTCAGAACAAAATCCTCCTTTTATTTCCCCTGGAACTTTAACTTTTCCTTTTACCCATTTTTCATTGGGCAGTGAGTAGAAAGCTAAGTATATGTAGTAGGGTAATTACAGCAAAGAACAGGATTTTGTTTCCTAAAACTTGCTATGCAAAGTTTCTTTGCTTATCCCTGGAAGACAATCGGTGAAGATGATGGCTGCTTGGAAGAAAATGTGGGAGGCATCTGCTCCAGAGAGCAGGCTGCAGGAGGCCAGATAGAGAACCCAAACATTTTGTTCTGCACAAGCCACATGGAAACTGCTCTCACCACTCTGCTGTAGGCTTGAAGTTAAGAGTCCACGAATTTTAATTTAAGTAAAGGGAGGGGGGCAAAATTAATACTCAGGTTCTGTAGTTAGAGAAATTAGGCTCTTGGCTTTGTTTTCGAATAATGGGTTTCACATTTCCTCTCAGAAATCCTTAGGTAGGGAGGGAGCCCTAAGACCAGAGGAACAAGCAGAGGGCCCATAAAATTATGTTATCAGGGAATGGGAAGATAAACCAATGAAGTAAACAAGGAAATAATTAGTTCCTCCCAAAAGTAAATATTGGCAAAACATGGAGAGACTATTCACTGCACTTACATAAATGACAGGACTCAGTGACCTTCACTTTGGTTGCCAGGCTTATAGAATCTTCACTGTTATTGAGGAGTCCTGTCACGTAAAACACTTGGCAAAGGCCAAATGGATTGCGTATTATCAGAATGGCAAAAATAGCAAGTCTGGAGATGTTTGCTGCCATTAACAGATATTGAACACTGACCAGGAAAATCTCTAAGGAAGATGTTGGCAGTAGGGTTGTAAACAGATTAATTTATGAAGAAAACTGTCTGAACAGTCCTCAATCTATGTGGGCATTA